TATATATATATATATATATATATATATATATATATATATATACACACACACACACACACACACGTTTTGGTTCAAATAAAAACATTATCTTAGGAGAGAAATGAGAATGAATCTGGACCGTTAGATTTGCTTTAAATGAAATTCATTGTGCATTTGATGAAACTGTAATATGCACTAGATGAAATTGAAATGTGCAGCACAAAAGGTACAATACAATGACATTATTTGAAGCTGAATTGTGCATTAGGTGCAATTGAAATATGCATTAGGTGAAACTGGAATGTGTAGAATAAAAGGTACGAGGTGAAGTTATTTTTGTACCTTTTATTTCGCACATTTCAGTTTCAACTAATGCACACTTGAGTTTAATTTTTTATTGGAAATATTGATTGTAATAATCCCAACTATTGGTGGTCCGCTTATAATAATCCCAACTATCGATTATCTCAGAATAATCCCAACTTTAGTGACCTTCCGCCAATAATGGTCCATGGCCAGATATGACCGGCCAGCTATAACAAGTGAATTTTAAATAGAAATAAAGCGTAAAAATTAAAAGTTGAATTATTTATAGGGATTACTTGTTATATCTCTTCTCATCCACTTTAGAAACTATAGGAATTTATTTATAGCCGGTCATGTCGGACCATTATTGGCGGAAGGTCACTAAAGTTGGGATTATTTTGAGATAATCGATAGTTGAGATTATTATAAGCGGACCGCCAATAGCTGGGATTATTACAATCAATTTTTCATTTTTTATTTTGCAAATTTCAATAACGTCTAATGCACATTTCAATTTCACCAAATGCACAACTCAGTTTACATAGTACAATCCAACGGTCCATATTCATTCTCATTTCTCTCCTGGGAGCCCGGTCTTACTGGAGTGGTTCTAATGAGAACACACCTTATTGTGAGAAATGAGAACACATCCAAACCGACAATCTCATTAAATGAATGATCATTAAGTAATTGACTCACAATATAAAGAAGGGGGCGTGCAACTAATCAAGGGCATTGGGGTAATCCTTAAATTTCATTTAGGATGTTTTTACTTGGACTGTAATTTGCTGGTCTGGTCTGGTCTGGTCTGATCTGATCTGGTCTGGTCTGGTCTGATCTGGTTTCTTTGTATTTTTATAACTATCCAAGTCTGGTCTGGTCTGGTCTGGTCTGATCTGATCTGGTCTGGTATGGTATGGTCTGGGAGGAATTACAATCCAAGTAAAAACATCCTTAATAGTGTAACGGTTGAAGGCTTGCACCTTCCAAAAAAGTAGGTAAAAATAAAATCTCAAAACATATAAAATGTTTTTAGTTTAAAATTGATTTAACTTCTTAAATTATAACCCAATTTTGTAAAGAATTATATCAAACGAAATATTTTTTTTTATCTTTCGTATGACACCGATATTGCATGTTTATTTTTCTTTAAAAAGGTATTATATGTATACAACAAACCAATATCTTCAACTATCACACACACAATAACCTATATTAAATGCACAACAACCAATATCTAATGCACACGAATAGAAATATCTCACAAATAGTTTGTATATAAAGCACTAGAGCAAGTATCTCAATCACAAAAATAGTATCTAACGCACAACAATTAAGAACTAATATTGAACACATAAGGATTGCATATAATTTAAACTATTATATGATACACATCAACTGATATCTACATCACAATACGTATATAGTATATACGTTAGAGAACTCGTATCTAGCACATATTATGGACATAGAGCATCACAACAAATACATAATGCACAAGAACCGATATATAGCACACAACCCTGAATACTACATTTGAGTAACACAATAGTGCAGTAGTGAATTGTATAGATACATACGAGTGAGCAAAATTATGCAAATGCTAAGACGTAAAGTATGTTAAGACGTGAAGTATGTTGAGCAGATATCTAGCACACAATCCGCAATATGTAATGCAACAATATGTAATGCATATGAATAGTATCTAATTCACAGTTGACATATATAACACAACAATGAAAATGTGTCCCGATACAAGTTTATACATATGTTGAACAATGAAAAGAAATAAGAGTAATTGTGCATTGGAATTACAAAATGATGTGAATAAAGGTTGTGAATAAGGTGGGGTTTTTTAGATGACGATCGATTGAGTTTGCATTAATATAAAAATTCAAATCACATGACCAATGAAATGCTTTATTTAATAATAAGTGGAACTTAACTTTTGCAATAGTGGAACGGGTGAAATGCTTTAATTTAATACTATGGTAATATATGGAACTTAATTTTTGCAAGTGGAACTGACGAAAACTGCGGCCAAGTCGTCGGTTACAAAAACTGCCATTAGTAAAATACTTAAATGCCCTTTGGTTAACTTCATTTGATCGCAGATGGCGTATGTTAATGGATGGCCATGATTTGTTCTGATTTATTATATTAAGCCTTGTTCTTATTTGAACATATATATATATATATATATATAGAGAGAGAGAGAGAGGGAGAGGAATTCTCCTGTCCAGCAGTCCCTGGTCCGAACACCGTGCGAACATCACCATTTTGGGCACTTTGGTGGAATTTTTTGATGAATTTTTTTGAGCATGTTTCTCATCAAGTCTAGTTTATCCATACCAAATTTCAACTGAAGATTAGATCGGTAAGGCAGTCAAATAATTCGTTGAAGTTAACTGCTTTTTTCTATGTATAATTTGGCGCAGTTAACTTCAACGAATTATTTGATTGCCTTCCCGATCGAAATTTGAGCTGAAATTTGGTATGGATAAACTAGATTTGATGAGAAACATGCTCAAAAAATTTCATCAAAAAAATCCACCGGAAACCGCCCAAAACGGGAGTGTTAGGACGGCATTCGAACGGGAAGGTGCTGGACATGAGAATTTCAACATATATACACACAATCATATTTTTATAAATAAATGTTTTGAGTAATCTTTTTGATAAAAACTTCATTAGCTAATTATCTACTCCTCGCAACTATAATTTGAAATTTGTACGTTTTAATCCGTTCCCTCGTTGGCTCATTATATCTGACAACGCTTGGCCTTCATTCTCATCGATCTTTGGGCTTCCCACATTAGCTCACGAATCCCGTTCCACTCCCCTTTCCTAGGCTACGATGTTGTACGCGAATCATGCTATGTATTGTACTACATTGCTACGAAGCTATGGTGACATAGATAACACCAATTTCTCTTAAATAGGAGTAAAAAAGTTTTAAAATTCTTTAAATAGGAGTAAAAAAGTTTTAAAATTCCAAAATAGGAGTTTCATGTTTTTTATTCCTTGAATAAGAGTAAATTTCTTCCAAGTCTGGCATTATTAGGCTTTAAAACGTGACATTTTTTTTCCAAACTTGGCAGATTACTCCTATTCAGGGAATAAAAAACATGATACTCCTATTTTGGAATTTCAAAACGTTCTTACTCCTATTTAGAGCAATTTCTAATTTCTCTTTGTTCCAAAAGCTTGATTTTCCTGCCCCAACGACTCTTACGCTCTAGCTCGAGAGAACATGTAAGATACTGTAAATCACGGGAACTTAGCTAACCACATAGGATGTATAGGTAAGTGCTTGTTGCCCATGAGGGCCATGATAAGTTCTATTTACATTGAGAGATTACTCCCACACTACCGCTGACGGGACTTAATCTGCGTCACTTATACCAAATTTCACCCATGTGTGGGTTTTGAGTATGTGATCAATTGAGGTTTGAGACAGTCATCAATTTCCTCTCTCACCATCTTATGCACAATTTCCTCTCTCACCATCTTATGCAAACCAGTCCTGAATATTTGTAAAATGTAAGACTTTAGTCTCTAAAACAATCCGACAGTGTGAGTAAACTTAAACAACTTCATCGATATGAAAGGAGTGGATCGATTACGTCAATAAACTTTTCAATTGTATTTCACCATCATCAATAAACTTTTCACTTGTAAACAACTTTGCATAGTGTAAACAACCATTTTAGCCTTTTCCATATTATTTTTACTTTATTTTATTAATAAAATATATTTTATTTCAACATATTGAGTCAGTTGTACTAAAATTTCACAATTTCATCAAATTCGGCCACTGATCAATTTTAGTATTATCAAAAATATTTATTCTTTGTGCCATTTAGCACTCAAGTACCAACAGTGATGGAGCCACCTTAGATAAAAATGTTTACAAACATTCAATTAAGAATTTGAAAAATATGTAAAAATACACACACACACACATATATATTTGATATAATTATTTATTGTTCTTTATTAGAGGTTTAACGATAATAAAAAGTTAAACGTCCTATATCCGTCATGGAGCCCCAATTATATTTCACCAATTCTATTAGGTCGGATCGAGTAGCTACGTTCGTTCAAGCCCTCGCCCGGAAGAGCCAACCAAGGCCGGTCCTTGGGGTAGGGCAACAGGGACGACCGCTCTAGGCCCGAAAATATAGAGAGACAAAAATAGGCCCAAATTTTGTCTTCATATGTAGTGTGAGTAGGCTTTTTATATTTAATTTTAAGTTCAATTATTTAATTTTTCACCTAATTTTAAATTTTGTTGTCAATTTGAAAAAATAAAACATAATTAAAATGTCATAAACAAAGCAAAGTTTAAAAAACAAACATACACTAGTTTTAAGTAGGACCAGTTGTAGTTTTTTAAAGCAACACAATGAATCAATAAAAGATATGTTCCTTCAGTCTTCAACATCTCTTTAGCTTTTTATGTTTTGATTTTAATTCTTTTAAGCGAGTATTGACTATTTTGCTTCACATCTGCGAGAAACGATTTAACTATTTTTTTTATGTAATACTTGTGTCGTCATTACGTTTGCCCAAATATGTAATTTAAATCACATTTTTTCATGATCTTTTATTAGATATTTTAGTTATAATTCAAATTTTAAATATGTATAATTTACAGTTTATTTCACCCAAAGGCTAAAAAATGATCAGGACCGACCCTGGACCCAACTCAATAATAAATACGAAGCAAGTAAATCAACTCAATAACAAATACGAAGAGCTAAAAGAACACCTTCGATCTCTCTCATCATTAATCGGTTACATATTACAAGTATGCATGTGATAATTAAGATTGGCAGGCTAAACAACATTTAATTTTCAACTTATTAAAATAATAATTAAGAATAATTGGAATACGTATTGTGAAAAAAAGTATCCTACTTCTTGGAAGAAACGTAGTTCCTCAAAGAAGGGGACTGCGTGAGAGCAAAGGGAGCGCCAGTACTGGTGTTTCCATTCTGTTTGATCTTCATCCTCCTCCTGGCGATGTACCCTCTTATCCATGGCGTCACATCCTCGTTAATCTTGATCACCAGGAAGAATATCAGACGGTACATGATGATCATGCTGAATAGCACGCTCAGATCTATCCACTTTGATCTGTTCACGTCAATCTGGAATATGTTTTCCAGTATGAATTCGCCCGAGATCTGTGGAAGATCTGGCGTTTGGTTGTCAAACACCAATCCCTTCAAATCGTTTTGATATTGTCCCTGTTATTGTCCAGTCATACAAACACACGATTCAGACGCATACCAACCAAAGTGGTTATCATTATTAGCTTATACGGAGGAGTAATAAATACCCTGAGTCCTACGTACTAGTATAAAAAACTAAGTTAGCTAACATTATAAATTTTTATATTAATGATGTCTTTAATTGGATTCAATTTTTTGGTCTGATCTAAACTAAACTGTTTTTGTCTAGTAGATATCTTGTCTATGTGTATTTTACAACTCTCGAAACATGGTCCGATCTAGTTTGGTGTGACATAGCCAAATATGTTTAAGTTCGGTTCGATTCATTCTAGTTTGGCGGATGTATAGTTTTTACGTATTTTACATTGTCGAAATCCAGTCTGTTTAAGTTTGATCTAGTCTACGTGAGTATGGTCTAATCTAGCCCGATCTGTTTAAGTCTGATCTAGTCTAGTCTGATTTAATACTGGGGTTAATTATCGAAATAGCACTAAAAGTCACTCACTTTGCACAAATAGGACCAAAAAGTAAAATATGTTTTCATAGGACTAATTATGTGTGTCTTGGACAAATATACCCTTATAGCTATTCAAATGGTTTAATTCATAATAAAATAGTAAAAAATAATAAAAATTCGTAAAAAATACTAAAAAATTAATAAAAATATTTCGATTACAATAATTTATTTATTTATTTATTTTCAAAAATAAAAAAAATACAAAATAAAAAACTCAAAAAATAAAAATAAAATTCACCGCCGCCTCTGCACCACCACCTCCTGTAATCAAGGAAAAAATGCCAAGTTCATTACGAATGCCATATTTATGGCAGAAAACAATGAAAATGGTGGCATTCTCAAAGAGAAATATGCCATGTTTTTTGCATTTAAAAAAAAATGCCAATTTTTAGGAAAAATGGCATTTTTTTCACCGACCGGAAATGGTGGTGCAGGGAGGTAGTAGAGGCGGTGGGAAAGGCATCCATATTTGTTTTAATTTTTTAATGGAGTTTTACTATTTTTATTAATTTCCAAAAAAACAATTTTTTTTTTAATTTTTTATTTTATAAATATTTTATAAATTTTTTATTTATATTTCTACGAATTTTCGATTTTTTTCGAATTTATTATGAATTAAACATTTAATTAACTCATATTTAAAGAAAGGGTAAGAATGGAATGAAAAAATAGGTATGTTTCCAATAGGATTAATATGGTCCTATTTTGAAAAGAAAAACATAATATAGTAAGTCATATTTTGAGTTTTTGCCATATTTTTAGTCCTATTTGGAGTAATTTCTATTAATATTGAGATGTATCCAAGTAAAAAACATACTAAGATAATTTAGTAAGAGTATAGATAAAATGAATTGAGTATATTACAAGTGCCCCTTTTTAATTAGCTATTTTTGAGTTTTCTAGACTATGATATAGTTAACTTAGATCAATCATATTAACCAATACAGAATCTATTTATGTAAAATTCATAAACTTTATACTTTTATGATAAATCAAAGTATACTTTTTAACCATATATTCTATAAGTAAAAGTTTAGTAGAAAGACCAAAGACGATTGACTTGGGAAAGAATGGTTATAATAAATTACTCGTACTACCTATCATGCATATATTAGAGTAGTAGAAAAGTATGAGAGCTCAATCTCTATCGATCAATTTGTGATTAAAGTTTAATTTAATTGTCCGATCGATTATGGAGTGTCATCTTTTTTTAGTAGAAAAATGTGATCAAACTAATCTTTGTGATTAGTTCAATAGCCTAAGGCCCTAATTAAGTGGAAACTGATGTAGGACATGGCGACATGCAGTAACGCCCATAACTGTTACTCCGTAATAAGTTTGATCTCTTTTATTCTTCTTCTTATATTACCTGCAAAGCCCAGAAGTGGAAGCTGATGTAGGACATGGGGTAACGCCAAAAAGGCTTTGGGATGTCATTCGGGAGCCTGAAGTAGCCGGAGACTAACATAAAGATCCCCTAATAAACACACAGCAAGTAAACGCCGTCAATGTTAAACATACATACATACGTACGTACAAGATAAATCAGAAGAACTAATTCAACATTATCGATCAATTGATATATAGTATTAGCTTAATGTGTGAGGGGAAAGCCGGGATCGAGATGGAACATTTACCTGAATTCCAGCACCAGTGATGATGCCCATAAGGAAATTAGGGACAACACTGGCAATGGCCATCATAAGGCTCTCAACGACGGTCACACTCGCGAAGAGGCAAAGGACAAAGAAGGCATAGTGCGAGAAACCAGAGTGGAGGCGGACCATGAAATAGCACACCGTGCCCGAGAGAAAGGTTATGAGTATCAGAAATGGCGCCGCCGAAAAGGTGTTGCTTATCACGAATGACGCCACCCCATAGTGCCCATTCAACCTCTCTCTTTGGAATACCTGTTAATTAGCCATTCATTATCAATTTATCACCTACTTGCATGAATAATTAAGTTGCATCACTACAAAAAAAATATACGTGATTGACACGGATTTCGCATGCATCACTCACAAAATTCTCCATCAATCTAATGTTTTTTTGTAGGTCATGGACTAAATGAAAGTATGATTTTCACACCTTTGAAGCATGTACTCCATATCACTTCTCTAATATTCCTTTTCGAGTTTATCAAATTAGTTGTCTCCATTTTTTGAAAGAAGTCTTTTTTAAAAACATCTATATACACTTAGATATAGTATTGTCACACTTCCAAAAACTTTACACTTCTTGTAAAATGTACAATAGGCCTAGCTATAACACATCCTAAATTGCATGGAAAGACTCTAAGACTATTGTGTCACTTAAAATGATACAGAGGAAGTAGCATATTTACCTTGGACTTAACTTAGTTTTTACTCTTTATTTCACTCTATTTTACTCTCAATGCAATGTTGATCCAATTTCATCTTTATTCGTTATCCAACTCAATTTAGTACAAAATTTAGAATGATTTACTTCTCATGCCAATGTGGTTTTTAACTAAACTGGACTCATCACTTTAGTCCTTGGAGTGTATTAAATACGTTTCTTAATAAAGTATGCATTAGAACTAGCTTGAGTATAAATACCACACTAAAAATTAAACCAAATTAAATTGAATAGAAAGAGGATGACAAAATTCATAATATAGTAGTACATCGACCGAATTGATTACTAACCCTATTACTTCCCTTATACTCTTTACTTTTTTATTTGAACTTTTTTACTAAAATATTTCATTATCAATCAATAGAAAATATTAAAATGATACTCCCTCTATTAATTAAAATTTAGTTATTTTTGACTTTTCATGTCGGAAAACATAGACTAATGATTTTAATCGTTAAATAAAATTTAGTGAAAATTATTAGGTAGTATGAAGTAGGTTTTATTTTTTGTGAAGCATTCCTAACAAATAACACTTTCATACCAATTACATATGGAGTATTATAAATAATTTCATACGTGAATATATATATTATTGCTCAAAGTTTAATATTGTTGATTAAGATTAATTTATTGGAGAGAGGCACACAATTATCATTACTATAGAGAAAATTAACGGTATTTTTACCAGCTCGCAATAGAACTTTTTTAAATACGGAATATAATAAGAGTGTGGCATTAATGGGCTGTGCTGTACAAGTCAATCGGGCAGCTAATAACGACAGAGTATTAAATAAGAAAGATGGGTTCACGATATGGAACCTTCATGTCTTCCACGAACGACGGAAAGCCTCCAATGGACATGAATGTGACGAAACCAAACACAAATGACGCGCAAGCACCCCTAGCCTGTTCGTAATTTAATACAGCAGTAATTATTACAGCGAGAAATTCTTAAGATCAAAACGAGGGGTTGGGTAATAATTTCACTGGGATAAGAATATTACCAAGATGGAACTGTAACCTGTCCCCACGTTGAGATATATGGTCCCAATGCAGATAGTTACCACGAGGTAGATAACAAGCCTCAACCAGTAATAACCAAAATCTCTTGACATATTAAGAAAGGAACGTTTGGTTAGGGTAAATGCCTGCATAAAAAAGCTAGCTTGGCTACCTCCTGAATCCAGAACTGTTCCTCTCTGCAATGCACATCTCCAGAATTAATTAAATCAAACCAATACTTATGACATGTATGGTATAAAAAAACAAGAAACTTGGGAATGTTTTGATTTTCTCCTCCGTTTGAGAAAAGTGGTTTATTTTACAAATTATAAAAAGTGTTTAATCACAAAAGACATATTTGGTTGAAACAAAAAACGTTTTTCAAAAAGTAGAAGTTAAAGTATTTGGTAAAAATACTTTTTTATTAAAGTAAAAATACTTTTTGGGTGTATCAATTAAGTAAAATGTCATAAAAAACTGAAACATATTTAAGAACTGTCTTCATGCCCCTGCTTGCGGCTTTAACTTACCACTTTAGACATTTCCTGGACTCTGAGATTAGCTTCATGGTAATAATGAGACGTATGGTAAAAATCAACAAGTCTCCTAATGGCTTCTGCCGTGGTAATCTTCTCGAGAGGGTCATCTTTGGTCTCAAACTGATAAGAAAGCAAGTTCAAAGCAAATACAAGAACGTAAATTAAGAATAAGGTTCCAATTGAAATAGATCAAAATAAGAAGTTTATGTATACCCGAAGTTTCATTGAGCCTTTTAAGGTAGCTTTGACTTTATCAAAATCAGAATTTATACAACGCAGGAAATGATCTGATGGATTTCTTAGAGCAGGGCAAGGAAATCCTGCTTGTGAGAAGAACTGCAAAAGGCAAAGTAAAAACATACAATTACTGTTGTATTTGTCTCAACTGTAGTAATTCGGATTGAAGATCCAAAATTCTTGCCTCGTATGCTTCTGAGGCCCGACCAAAGTAGACGGTTTTGCCGCTAGAGAGCAGATACAATCTGTCAAAAAGCTCAAACACTTCACTGCTCGGTTGATGTATTGAAGCTATTACTGTTCTTCCATCTCTGGATAGACTTCTCAGCGTCTGTGTGACGAAGAAGGCCGATGCACTGTCGCAAAAAAACGGTAAAATTTACAATTTCCGATGATGAATAAACAAACAGATTTGATATTTCAGCAGCTTAAAGTTGAAGAAGAAGCAGAAGAAGAATTAGGGACCGGCGGACCTGTCAAGGCCGCTGGTAGGTTCATCGAGGAAGAGCAATCTAGGGCGCATTAAGATCTCGACGGCGATACTAACTCTCCTCTTCTCTCCGCCGCTGACTCCGCGCAAGTGCCAGTTTCCTATAACCGTATCTGCGCAGTCCTGAAGCCCCATTTCTACGATTGTGCTCTCGACCAGCGCCCGCTTCTCCCTCCGCGGCATCCTGTCCGGCAGCCGCAGTTGGGCGGAGTACCATATCGTTTCCCGGACCGTCAAAGTTCCGATCAGGTTGTCATCTTGCGTTACATATGCCTGTTAAAATGTTTCACAGAAGAAGAGACGGTCGATTATATTGTATTCAGTTAATATCGATTAATCAAGTGATATAGGTTGTCATCTAGAGTGCGGAATACGGAATGATCATGAACTATAACTAACCGCGGTTCCGTAGGAAAGCTTGGCTTTATGGCCGTTGAGGATGATTCGGCCGGCGAGGAAGGCGTTGGCGGCGAGGCGGCCGGCGAGGGCGTCGAGGAGAGTAGATTTGCCGGAGCCAGAGGGTCCCATGAGGGCGGTGAAGGTTCCAGGCTCTGCATAACCAACTAGGCCTTCCAGAACATTCTGCGTCCCGCCGTTGTTGAGAGTAACCATAACGGTTAAATCCTGCCATGACAGCCTGGCGGAAACGTCCCCCACGAACTCTGTGTTCGTCTTCTCCTTCCACAGTGTCTCGCTCAGAGGACTCAGCCCCCCAATCACAATCCCATTCCCCTGCGGCTTGCTCGACTCTATCTCCATCATCACCTCCGACGAAGACGCCGCGGCCGCCGCCGAGCTCCTCGTCGCGGAACTCATCATATAAAAATATCTGTATGAAACCCACTAATATAATCTGTATAGTATTACAGTATTACTACTCAGATCAGTAAACTCTGATCCTTCAGCTAATCAATATGTAGTCTGCGATTCTGCCACTACGTTGAATTCGTTCTGCTTCTTCAGTTTCAATGATCGTGTATATATATGAGCTTTATTTACATGTATATCTTCAAAAGATCAGAAACGAGATGGGTATGAATGGAAGATGAGATTGCTGTGAGTTTGACTGAAAGCTGGAAAGAAGTGCAGCGGCGGATTCATGCAGATTGAATTGATCTGATAGGGTTTCTAGTTTCTACACTAGACCACCGCCCTGAGCTTCTCGATGGGTGTGATTGTTATGATATCCGTCCCTGGCTGGCTGGCTGGCTCGTAAATTCTGAGCTGCAGCTCCAGAAATGCAGGCCAGGATGTAGATGAAATCTTTGGTTTTGTATGCAGTTGCTATTTCTCCACATGTACTGTTGCTGCTGTTAACTACTACCCACCAACCGCCTTCAATTCCATATTAACGCACCAACCGCCGGCCTTCAATTCCATTAACCCATCTCATCTTAAAATGGTCTGGTTCTTCACCTTTTGATCAAGTCCACTTTATCTTTCATTTACCCCCTGTCATTAAAGGCGGCGTACTTCATTAATTCAGTTCATCCTAATTAATGAAAAAAATCGAGTTAACGTTTGATGATTAACATCTCAAATATACTCGATCCATGGAGTATGTAATACGGAGTAACAAATTTGTACTGCTTCAATCGTAGATAATCCAGCGGTCATGTGGAGTTTCCCATGTTTGACCAGGGAATGAATAAAATTGTAAAAAAAAGGATCTCATCCCATCCGTGAGGCCACCCAACACCGATCGACGGTACGTTGGGAGGATGTAAATTGGACTATAATCACAATCTAACAGATAGATCGCGGAGCTTTGTCCCCGATACTTGCAGAGGTCCTATGCATTTTTTAGCATAGTAACCTCTCATCGCAGTTGTCGAGATTCGAACCCGGGACCTAACTCTTGTGGCACTCCCTCGCTAGCTACCGGTTGAGCTACGCCCACCGGTTGAATAAAATTGTAAATGGGATATACGTAGTATTAATCAACATTTTTCACCAGAAATGGAGCGGTTAACTTTTTTCATCAAACATGTAACCGTAGAGAAACATACATTTTAGCTATATATTTTTCATATAATTTTTTCTTTATTTTATTAATAAATAATTAAATATATTTTAAATATAATTGTTTCATGATTCAGCAGAATCAGACAATCCAGTCACTTCAGATGGAACATCCTAAATTTAAGCAAAATCAACCGTTTCAGCCAATTTCAGTGTTTCCAAACAGCTCCGAATTATTTTTAAAGAATAAGTCGATTAAAGCTTCTCTAAATATGAAGAATTAGTCATACTTTGATAATGAAGCAAAATCGCTTTATCCCTTAAAACTTGGCCAAATTTGACCGGAACGAAAATTAATAAAGTTAAAACAATGTTGTTGCAATTTGTGGAGAAGACATAAAATTAACTGAAATCACAAATTCTTTTTAAAACAAAACTGAGACAACTCAAAAATGAAAGTTGATAAAATTTTCTAAGTATTTGATAATATCAACGTTGCCTTTGTTGTAGTCGTATTTGAAAATTTTGTCATGCATGTTAGTGTGCATGTCCGATATTTATATGAATATATTTGCCTTTTCGAAACGTTTATTAATATGTTGCAAATGCATGGAAGAAACGTGTCTTTCAATTCTACGAAAAGCAAATACATAACATGTTAGTACGTACGCAGCATATCTTACAAACAATTTATTAGTCACACTCCTTAATAATGTTAAGCATATTTAGAAGGTTTTTAACTTAATATCCTCAAATTTAAGGAATTTTTCCTTGAATATTACTAATAAAAAATCATGGGTAAAAATATTGGCCTTGTTTGTTTTTTGGCGGATACGGAGCAAACCGCTGCAAAATGCAACGTTTTTATTTGGAAAAAAGGGCGGATTGAAGCCAATCCGCTATTAACCAAATGCTGCCATCAGTGAAGGACCTAGGGAGGGGCTTAGGGGGGCAAGTGCCCCCGCTTTCGGCCAGTAATTTCACTACTAGTAATTAGAGTAAAATAAGTGTCCTGCTTTTGGCCAAGAATTTCATTACTAGTGTGTCCCTACTCTGACAAATCTCTGGGTCCACTACTGGTTGTCATTATCTAGTAACTATTAGTAACTACAATTGTGTGCTCAAAGTTTACACGGTAGTAACTCACATGTAATTAATTACGATGTATTGCGTAAATTTTAACATAATTATACTCGCAAATAATTACTCCGTACTAAATACTCTGTAATATTTTTGTTCATCACATTTTAAAGAGTAATTTTAATGGATTTTTTCCCAAATTTAATAGCCACCAAAATCAAATACATACTCTTTAGTCCTTAATTGCTTCGAATGTCGCACTAAGCTCTTTTAGTGTTTCACACTTTCACGCGTCAAACATGTTTTGGAAATGAAAAACTCGCGGAACACTACATGTTGTGTGAATTGTGATTTCGTAGATACGTATGTAGTACTGTAGAGTCGGTTTGGAACCCACTAATATAATCTGAAATTGCAAAAGATGAAATTCCAATTAGTGGAACACTACATGTTTCATACTCTGAACACTACATTAGTATGAAAAACTCGCGGAACAATTACCGATAATATGAAAAACCCACTAATACTCCTATTTTGGAATTTCAAATTTTTTTTTACTCCTATTCAAGGAATTCTCTCTTACTTTTTTAGTTTAATTGACTGAAATTGCAAAAGATGATTATATTAGCTATATTTTCACACACACACACACATTATTTTTAAGGTGTTATTACATATATTTTAAATATAATCCTTTCAGAATTTCGCAGATTCAATCATCTCAATCAACCAGGATTTCATAATTTTAAATATCAGCATATTTACACAATTAAATCAATTTTGGTTTTAGAAAAATGGGATATTGATTATTAAAAATGAGACACTTTTTGTAAACCAAGTTGGCCTCCAAATTAATGATGAACACGACTGGCAATTACATACACCATGTCGGTGTTCCGTGTAATCTCAGGAAAACAATACTCGGTATTACACAAACGGCGTTAATTAATTTTGTAACACTGATTTATGAAGTGATATTCGTACTCCATGACTTCTTTATTTACCCAGAAACACAAACTATAATGAATAGAAGGTGTTTTACATATCTATAGAAACAGGAAAATTAAGTTTGTTAACTTTGAAATTGGTACATTGCATCCTCTCTACTTTACCTATATAATTCATCCAAGAATGCATTTTTTCTTCTAATTAAATCCAAGTACACACATAAGGTGCACGAGAGATGTGCATCAAGAATTAGCGACACACGGGGGCGTAGCCAGGAGTAAGAATTGAGTTGAGTCGGTATAAAGAATTTTTACAAATAAATTTTTACACATATATTTTTACTTTAAAAATATAAGCAATTTTAAAATTTGATGTATCAATTGATGGTATGCTTATATTTTGCTCACATTTTAATAGATGAAAAATGTACTACAATTGTTATGCTTGTGACATATCAGCCTTTTAAAACTGAGCTTTACTATTAAAATAATAGATTATTATCATGCAATTACCTTCAACCATCATATCAGAATAATATGATCTTTTATCCATCCAATTAATCTCAAAATTGACTCAGAATTTATATTTTAACCTCACATTATTCCATCAAATAAGCATACCAAAACATCTCTTACACATCAATTTTAAAAATGTACAATTTTAAAATGTACATATATACATGCATACATAACATGATGAATCAATTGCAGTACATTTTTCATCTATTAAAATGTGAGCAAACTGTTTGCAAAAAAATGTGAGCAAAATGATTTGATGTATGAGAATATTACCCGAAATAGGACTAAAACAATTTGAAAATTCCAAAATAAGACTGACATGTTTTTTATTCCTAAAATAGGACTAATTACTGTCATGTTTAGAAAATGTTGCCATGTTTGAAGTCAGGTACAACCAAAACATGGTAGTAATTAGTCCTATTTTGGGAATAAAAACATGACAGTCCTATTTTGGAATTTTCAAAATGGTTTAGCCCTATTTCGGGAACTTTCTCTTGATGTATATGTCAAACCATTACATACTTAAACCGTAATAAAACACACAAAACATCATACTTTACCATAATAGTTTGAAAAAAATTCACTTTTGGTCCCATAACTACTATACCACTTCCACATTTAGTCCCTTACTTTCATATTGTCCACATTTAGTCCGTGACCATTATCCCATCACCATCTCTCGTCCTTCTAGCCAAAATTCCGGCAAATTTAATTTAGTCCACTTATCAGCCTCAGAATCAGTCTTTGCATTAAATTTTATATAAGGTTGGGTTTTCCATATCAATCTTTGCATTAAATTTGGTTTTTCATACCTAAAATCTGCATTAAATTTACCGGAATTTTGGCCGGAAGGACGAGGGGTGGTGATGGGATAATGGTCACGGACTAAATGTGGACAATCTGAAAGTAAGTGACTAAATGTGGAAGTGGTATAATAATCACGGGACCAAAAGTGGAATTTTTTGTAATAGTTTGAACTAAACTAGATCAAAAGTAGACCAGATTAGTGAGATGATAAGATATTTATATGTTAAAACATGTCGAAACTATTTCTGCTAGGGGAGAGAGTACTATGAGAGATATGAAATTATGGCGGGAAGGGAAAAAATAAAAGGTGGAGTAGTATTAGTGATTTGTAAGAGGGATAAAGTGAAATAATGTAAAAGTGAAATGGAGAAAAATAAATACTCCCCCCGTCCCGTTGGAATGTTTCCGGTTTGACCTACACACATATTAAGGAAATAAACTTATCAGGGGTAAATTTTACTGTTATGACACTGTTTTGACACTGTTTGACACTGTTTCGACACTGTTCGACACTGTTTTGCACTGTTTGACCCTGTTTTGATGTAGGATAACTTTCCATTTAGGGAAATGGGAACTTTCCAACGGGACATCCAAAAAATGAAAGCGGGAATATTCCAACGGGACGGAGGGAGTAATAGAAATTGGAGTATGATTAAAAAAGAGAGGAATGGCATAAATAGTACTATCCTCCGTTCCATAAAAGTTGCAACAGTTTGACTTTCACGTTTGCCAACGCGCAACTTTGACTGTAATTATATTTATTTACGTATTAGTAAACATTAAAAAAAGTTAATATATTGGAAATTTACATTAATACAAATTTATTAATATTTTTTACATAATATTTTCATTATATATATTATTAGAAAATCATAGTCAAAGTAAGGTGTGTGAATAGTGCAGAAATTTCAATGTTGCAACTTTTATGGAACGGAGGAAGTATGTTTTTTATTAATAGTGACATTTTCA